CTTGCCAACTGCGGGCACACGAATAATACATACGCCCCTTCCGCGCCGGAAATTCCCTCATCGAAAATAGTTGGCGCACTTTTTTCCATTTTCCCTTTTGTTGTTGTGCATTGCGCACATAGTTAGATAAGACAATATTATTTTATTGCCCTAGAGTTGGAGATTTCCGGGTGGGGAACCACTGGTCAGTTGTTTTGCTCCAGGCAAAGGGTCGCAAATAAGGATAGTACTGCAAGAAAAATTGGTTGGGAAAAATTTATTTAGCGTCTTGGGGATTGTTGGTAAAGTCAGGGAGAGGCGCCTTTTTATTTAGCCCATGGATTCCACCGATAATATACGATAATGGTTGACCCTTAATATTTATTTTTCTTTTTTGCAACATATTTGAAATCATTCATAAAAATTTTAAATAGTATTCCATGATAAAAATGCTACAGTTTTTCTGGTTAAAATATAATTTTAGATTATGTGGAGAATGAGCTTATTGATATGGACTTATTTAGTATATATTCCTTCCATCATTTGAAAATTCTAGTCTCAAAGCATATACTGTAATTAAAATCTCCCTCTGGTAATTAAAATTACATTTTAGAGGCTGCAAACCCATTTCAACCAGCTTTCAATGCGAAAATAAATGATTTTATTGTTGCCGGAAGTTGAAGAACTTTTTTCCGCTGGCCATTTGTCATCAATCAATTAGAAGCGTTTCCCCTGTCAAATGTGTCAAACTATTGCATAAACTAACATTAACCCAGGCACAACTATGACCGGCTGGATGGCTAATAAATTTTGCAGACTCGCCAACGCTGGGCCAACATAAATCTACATGGCCAGCAACTCGTACATATTTCATTGGTGCGCTTCGCCTCGATTTCCCGCTCGAGTTTGCCCCTACATGAGTGTTGCTGGGTTTCATTTCCTTGGCACTTCCTTGCACACTCCCATGTAATACTTTCCCTTTTTTAATATGCTCATTCAATTTACTTGCGCCGGCTCCCGACTGCTTCTCGATTATTGATGACATGACAAACAAGGTACGATTTCCGCCCGGCGTCCCATCGACGAAGTTCGAGAATCATTTTTCTTTCAGCTCGATTGTATTTGTGTGCGCATTAACTTCATTTTGCAATCATGCGCGCCATAAATCCAATTTAATTGTCCTGCTCTCTCACACACACACACACACACACACTCACACACACACACAAAAGTACAGCCATAGTGCACAGATACAAATACGAAAACACACGCATGAGCTGCTTGAGTGCACGGCGGCGTATACTTAATTTTTGCTCGTTCGTGCGCTCAATTCCGCTTCCGCGCAACTTCTAACTCAATGCTAAATAGAAGCACATAAATTTCCGTTCACCACCCGCCCCCTCGATATCCGGTCTGATTTCTTCGGATTGCATTTTGAAAAATAGATTTTTTATACTGTTGCTCCTTTGCTCCTTTATCTACCTGTCTCTGTTTCTGCCTGCGTCTATCTCTGTCCCCCATTGATTTACAACGCACAATTTCGTACCTTTTGTGGAAAACGTTCGAACTTCATGTCCAGTCCAGTTGGAGTCGCTCGTTGTGATTTATGTTTGATTGAAATGCTCTAAATTGTATGCTAATCGGGACTTTGACACAAAGCTCATTTGTTGTTGCCCCCGCACTCTGCTTTCCCTATTGCAATCGCAATCGCATTTAAACGTTGTGCTTGGCTTTTGGCAGTTTGCCTAAGCGCTTGCTAATTTGAAAACCATTTCGGGTTCGAGCGGCTATCAAGGGGTTGCTACTTCGAATGCTCAAGTCATTTGTCAGGCTTTTGGGTTCTCCATTTTGATTCGAAATAATTTGCCCCGCTTGGGGGTGAACCCAAAAGGAATGTGTTGCAGGCAAATGAACTCTTAATTGTCAAGGAATGTTTTAGAGATCCCTAACTGTTTATCAGATATTTGGTAATGAAATTTGTATTATGGTTTGAAGCTGTATTGAGGTTTGTCAATTATTTGGTCAATTATTTCGAAATCGCTTTAGACTTCAGTTTAGACCTTATCAATTTATACTTGTTTAATAAAGATTGAAGATATATCTCGTTTAAAATATGTCACACTAACGGTTGCAGGAAACACAAGCCTTCCATAATCACGTAGCACCCATCACAAGTTGATGTGATTGCAGACATTATGTGCAGCTGTTTGGGCGCGGTTGCCCCACCGTCTCTTGGCCATTAATTTCAACGGATCCCATTCCAACAATTTCCTGTCGCATGCCCTGCTAAGTATGCTATATAGTTTTCTTTAATAAGTCCAACAACTGTCAACCGCGTGAGAGAAACAGCTGAAATTCAGCAATAAATTTCCGTGAGTGAGTCGGACTAGGGCACGCTTCATTAATGCGACAAGCATGGGGGTGACTGTACAACACCCCTTCACCCCTTGACCCATGACCCTCCAGCCCTAACTGGTCTCAAACAGCCAGCACAATTGGCTGCACTTGTGTGTCCACTTAGTTGGGCGAACAAAACCCACAATATGCACATAGCCGAGTGGTTGCACTCATTCCCCCACCGCCCTTTGACCCCTCAACCACCTAACCACCTTACCCCTTAACCACCCACTGACCAGTGGCTCCTCATGTCCGTGTGGTTAAGTGAGCGCCGTGCGGCTGGCATTTCTGTTTTATTTTGGCCTTTTTTGAGTTATGCGCCGCATTTCCGGTCTTGTCATTTCATACTAATCAACATCCGTTGAGCGGAATTCGGGCCAAGCACTTTGTACTGCATTATTTCGCGGCTTTATGTTCGGGGAAGCCCCGATATTGGGGGTAATATTTTCTGACCCGCATTATAGGCATTTGTTGCAGCATTTGCATTGTAATTGCAACAGTGCGTATAAGTGATGTGCATATAAATTAGATTTGCTTCGCTGCGGCAGGTTCTCGGTTGGGCAAAAAGTCCGACTATGGAAATTGAAAATTTATTGCATACCCCCCTGGTCAGCGTTTGGTTAATGTTGAGTGTGTGGGTGATTCTGTGGTTAAGCCTGGCTTTCATTACAAATTACGCATACGCACCGTTGTTAATTTCATATTCATAAATGATGGCCGCACTCCCTGGGGAAATTCCATGAAGCACTCCAGCTCTGCGGTCCTTTATGCCACAGGTCCTGTTTGTGTACGAGTGTGTGTGAGTATTATTTATTTCCAAAAATAAAAATGGTTATATTATGCCTCAGTTGAGGCCTTCTTTCACTCGTCTTTGATCTCTGCCCCACCAAGCTTTGTGGCAAATCTCCGCTTTGGTATACTCCACCTAGCCAAAGCCAGGCAACATAATCCAGTACATTTGAGTCTGAATGCTCTCTTAGGTCCAGTCCATTTGGCCACTTGACTGGCCCGAAAGCGGAGCTGGCCATCAAATCCCCAGAAAGTCCTAGCCATAAACATAAAAACCAAAAGGGCACAATTCTCCACTGGTCCGCTCGGCCATCGAGTACTTTGTTGAATTAAACCTCTAATTAGTGAAAGCTGTTCTTGGCCGGGATTAAAGGTTGCCCAGGGACATCTTGATTTTGTAATGAAAATGGCTTTGAATTTTTAAAAGATTTTCTTATAAGATGGGGCTCAGAAAAGCTGCCTTGATTAAAAATATTCATTAAGCTTCCAGCTTAGGCAAAGGCAAGAGGGTTCCTTAATTTTACAAGCTAAGCCAGAGGAAGTTATGGATTAAGGAAATTTGTAAGGGTACATAATTCTCTGAGCAAATCATTAAGGTTAATAAACTCTGACGAAATTATAAAAAGTTTTCTGGAACAGGAAATTATTGCAGTCAAAGAGCAGTAGTTTTTTTTAATTTATTAGAAATAATTCATTGCTCAACTTTTCGTTTTTATGTAAGCTCGTGTTGTGGCATCTATACATTGAAACTTTTTGCATTATTAAAAAAACTGTTATACAAACACTCTATAAAACTCATTTTGGACGAATTGACCTTTTGAATTCCAACTGCATCAAATTTCGAATACTACCAGGATTTGATTGCTCCTTTTTGCTTCATGACAGTTAGCACTTGCCCGTTACCAACTTCAGTTTTTATTACATGACACGACATTTCAGTCGGAGCAGTCTGCTCTTTTAGTGCCGACTCACCAATAAAACTGCATTGTGTCTATAGAACCAAGCAAGCAAATTAGTTCTGCCCAGACACACACTCTGGAGCGAAAACGGGGCACTCCGGGCGTTTGGGGGGCATCAAAATATTAGACGCGTCAATAGCTGGCACATTTTGCACGCTTTGCATTTCGAAGGCAATCGGGGCGACAAGTTGAACGACATCGAATGCTGAAAAGGACTTGGGGGTAGGGTAGTATGCCAATTCAATAGAACAAAAAGTGCAACCAACTCTGATGAACGCGCACTCTCTGTTCGACGCTGAAGATGTGGAAGTGGATGTGGATGATATGGGAATGTGTGTTTAATGGTTGACATTGTTGTTTACAAATTGACTTTTTGTTGGTGCTGCTGCTGCTGCTCGTCAATAAACATTTGCTTGATAATATGCCAACATATGCATAACGTGCATAAGTAGCTTATATTCCCATATCTTCTATGTTTCTAAGCACTGCAAAAAAAATGCACCAAATTTGGCTTTCGATTCAAAATGATATTTTCAAAAATCAATGATATTATATATTTTTTCCAAGCCATTTAATAAAGCAAAGCTGTATAAATTAAGGTTGCTCAAGTTGCCAAAAACTAATAAAATAAAAAAACTACTTATTAGATGTATTTATTAGATTTTTGATTAAAATCAAATAAATTCATCATCTTTAATTTTAAATTCCGCAAAAATTTATTAATGGTTTTTATTAAGGTTAAATGGTATAAACATTTAAAATTTTCGGAAAAGGATCAGAAATTCATTAGGAACTAAAGTAAATTAAACATTTAAATGTTTCGAAGACAATCCAAACTGATTATGCTTTGTTTTTTTTTTATTTTCTGTGCAGCAGAGCTGCAGCAATATCAACAGCAACAGCAGTCGAGCAAACATCAGGCAAATGGAGCTGTCCTCACTGGCATGCAGTCGCATCACATACGCGGACCACGCCCACCGCTCCGCACCGCCTCATCGACGACAACGAACAGCAGCAGCAATAACTCGGCGATGGGCGTGGCCGTGGGCGGGGCCGGCGGCAGCGGCGGTGTCAACATGCTGCTGGACCAAACGCCATCCGGCGGCAGCAGCAGCAGCGGCGTGAGCAGCGCTCCCAGCTCCTCGAAGGGCCACCACACCCACTCGCACTCCCACGCCGCCCACCTGGTTCACTCGCACGGCGACGGCCTTGTCCTGACCTCCGCCTCGCCTGTGGGCGGGCAGCAGCAGCTGCAGCAGCATCCGCAGCAGCATCAGCATCCGCAGCAGCAGCAACAGCAGCAAGTGCCGCAGGCGGCCATGGACGAGATGCGCGTCTGATAGGTATCGGTCTTTGAGTTGGACTTATAGTCATCAACGGGGTAAGTCTTCTTTATATACATAATGATTATGTTTATTTGGCATACTCAATAAAATATCTTTTGGTCAAGAACTGCTATTTTCTTTTCACGCTTTTTCTGAAAGACTAATTCAGGCTGAAATTGAAAATAAGTTTATAAGCTAAAATTTCGTAGTTCGTATTTAACAAAAAAAAAACTGCTTAAAACTAAATTAAACTGCATCCGTAAGATAAGTATCGTTTTATAACTGGTGAATTGTTTGATACCTTAATCCAATAGCTTTGGTAAAAATTGATTGAAAGGAAACATTTCAAGCGCAACGCTACATATCGAAATTTATTTACAAAATTTGGAAACAATTTCAATTAGTTTAATTAATTATTTGTAAGATTTCTAATAACTAAGTTTAAGGGAAACCCCAATAATGTTGATTGAAATCAACGAGTTTTGTATCAATCATTTAATTTTGAATCGTGGGAATTTAGTTTGGTTTTTTTTTCCAAAGTTGTTCGGTCACTTTCTTGAAGATCTGTTCTCACACTTGTATGCCCTGATTCCTTCTCCAAATTGAACACTATATCATTTTGCTCTGAGCAGCTCTCATCTTCGTCCTTCTCCTTACCATCATCCTGCTCCTTCTCATCATCCTTCTCCCCTTCATTCTTTATACGCAAAATACTCAGGGGGTTGTCGGTAAACTCGTATGAAATTTCTCCAAACGAATTTATTTCCGCATATTCATACAGATAATATTTGCTTTTCATTTCGCGTATTATGCCAAAGCGTAGTCCAACTTCCAGAGCCTTTCTCAATTCTTTGGTGTAATATTTGCGACGCCACGTGGAGTTCAGGGTGGTCAAGACGAACTTCAGGATATCCTCCCAATCTGCTGGTGGGTCAAGCTTCTTTAAGGCAAATGTGAGGTAGTGCGATATAGTGCGGTTCTCCATTTCTGATTTTTATTTTGTAGATCTAAAAAGACATTGAATACAAACGAAAATTGACAGTAAAATCGTACAACTTTACTTTACTTTAAATCAATTCAGTTCGTACTGAATTTCTTTTAAATAATGTTGTTGCATTTCCCCTGGCCAAAAAATGACAAAAATGCTTAACCCTTTAGGGAGCCGAAAAAAATGTAAAGGTCATGACGGGACATCCCAAAAAGGTAAAATAAAATATCTGCGCACACAGGCTCTGATCAAGAATAACAAACGGCATGTCAAACATGCGACAGCAAAAAATTCTGGCTCTTTATTTGATAATAAGAGTGAATAAATAAAGTATAAATATGCATGAAAAACCCGAAACATAGCCGAGTTCATGGTTCAAGGTGGATTCAAATGTCGCAGCCACTGGTATGGAGAAATTCCCAAAAGTGAGCGAAAAAAAACTGAGTGGCTTTAATGGGAACTTTTACGCAGTACAAAAAACATGTTACTACAAGTAAATAAATAGAGCACATTAAGCCAGACCAGAGTTGAGTGAAATTATAAACGAAATTAAAAATTAAACCACCAGACCAAGCCATAACAAGTGGCAAGGTGCAAGGCAATTTGCGGCATGCAACTTGAAACCGAGCACCCAACTAATTTATGAGCCCAATGTCGGACTCTGGAAATTCGAGCTAAGCCAAATTAAAACTGCAATGTGGCCAGAAAAAAATACTTAAAAATTGCATTAACTAGAGCCAAGCTGGGTAACTACAACTGAGCCCCATTTCCATTGCTGTCAACTCAAAAGGAAAGTCGAAAAACCTAGCAATTATTTTGGCACAACACCTGAGTTGAAGGTAAGCCCATTCTACGGAAAAGAACACTGGAATTTCTGCAATTTATGCTTATATTAACACAAACTGAAAAATGTGGTTCGCATATTCAAAGTAAATACAAGTGGTAAGTGTAAATAAATTTACACTTAATTCCCTAAGTGACGCCAGTGAAGTCAACCAAATTAAATAATACTGGTGGCAGTTCATTTAAAAAAGTATAAAATATATATTGTTCATATGGGGCAAAGATTTAAATTCACGGTTGATACAATAAAAAGTTTTAAAAATATATGAAATATTAATTAAAGTGCAATCCAAAGATAATTTATCAGCATTGTTCTGTTTCTGACAGGCTTTAATAAAGTGGAAACATGGAGGAAGATTGGCATAACGATTTAAAAATTCAAATCTAAATCAGGGTTGATACAATAAAAAGTTTTACAATTATAATGAATATTATTTTAATGCTTAATCTAAAGACAATTTTAAATGTTGCTCTGTGTCTGACAGGCTTTAAAAAATTTGAAACATGAGGAAAGATTGCTTTAAGCTTGTGAAAATCAAGCAAATGGATCGCAATACAATTTATTTATTAAACCCCCTACGAGGGTAGCCTTTTTCGCCCACCGACATGGAACTGGCTGAAAAGATCAAGCCACTCACAGAAAATTTTATCACCTACTTGGGTGCCCACTCGCAGCCACTTTTACATGAGCTCGTGTATCTGGGTGTGTGTCGGTCAGAACACTATTTCACCTGGCGTACAATTAAATTTGCATTTCCTTCCTTTTTGTTTAACCCACGCTGCCTGCACAGCCTCCGCCTTGGTTTGCTTAACTTTTAGCTGATTAACATTTCTGCCCTGTGCTCTTGGCGCGGTGGAAAATGCAATTTTCCCTTCCAACTGAAGTGAAACGGGGGAACAGGGCAAATGGCAGCTTTTATGTAAATTTACACCCCCAAACACGCACATACACCCGCCCAAAGGGGGCGTGTCGAAGTGTGTATGTGTTAAAAGCGCAATAAACATTAATTTCACATTCTTTTTCTTTAAGCCACTCCACTGGCTTTGTGCTCCTTACACTTTGTTTAAGTTTCCTCTGGTACTCAGTTTTCTTTTGGACTTATTTAAATTATGATCAAAAGGTTGGAAATTGGGGGGAAAAACCAACAATAGTTAGCACAGCCGACCCAGACAATTTGTTTGATTGCATTGCGTAAAGCAACGCAACCCGAGGCTATACTTTAAGAAGCATCATTTGGAAGTTTAACAAATTGTTAAGCAGATTTCCGAATATGCAAATGACTCACATTTAATCACTAGGCAAATTTTAGAATTCCAATTAATTTGGGTAGCAAACATAAATAATTTCAATTTACTTGCTTATATATCTGCTCAATTGAAGTGACCGTCTAACGCATTGCTAAGCAATTAAGTCAACAAATGGCCAAAAATGCATCTTAAGTTTCTAATCAATTATAGATCTTCGTTTGCTTTTTAAATGTGGTTATCTTAGCTGTGTTTAGGTAGGACAATTTTAAGCAAATATAATATTTACTTAATTTAATTATTTGTTTATTTTATTTAAAATTTGTTGCTGAAATTATATGAACAAGCTAACAGTGTAAAGGAGAAATCGTTCACACACTAATTCTCGCAAAGGATTGTTGGCTTAACGTGTTGTGTAATTAGCGCGAAACTTTCAAGTTGCATTAGGCACCCAAGAGCTCAGGGTTAAGTGTATAAGTATTTAGCTTCAGGACCCGCACATTATATGGGTTAAATTTTGTTATGACAATGTTTCCGGAAATACCAACTCTCAATGGGCTGTAAATTTTGATAGCTTTAAATAATTATTATGAAATACCTTTATAACAAGCTTGACCATGTTAAAACAGAAGCACTGTTTGTTTAAATTTCAATTTATTTTATATATTTAAGCCTAAGTCTCTTTTAAAGCAAAATATAAATTAATAAAATGAACATTTTTTCTTTGCGCTTATAATTCAACTATAAATTTGTTGGTTATTTCATTTATATTTGTGTGTTTAATGTAATCATTTTTCAATTTATTTCAATAATTTGATTATTATTACTGATTATCTACAGAGTTTTTATTGAAAATCCTAATATGAAGCTCCAACACCTTGAAAGGTATAATGCAGTAAAAATAATCTTTTTAATTACCAACTATTTTCCCGTGTTAAATTTTTAACAATGAGACTGCGAAACTGAACCAATTTTTAACACTTGACTGATGTTTATTATTTCTGGGGGAATTTAATACGCGTCAGTTCCCCCGATAGACCACTCAGTCGCCTCCGGAGTTGCCCCTCCAGTTGCCCCTCTTTAGCAGTACAAGATATGCAAAGTGGCTGCACAAACATGCGCGTAATACGTTAATGATGGTCTCTGCCTTTTTCCCCCCACCAAAACTTCCCCTCGAACCCTTTTTTTAACCGTAACTTGCACACATTGTAGCAGCGATTTGCATTACGCGCATTACTCAGTTCACTCATTTTGCCGGGGCTTCTTTTTCTTTAGTTTTTGGTATCTTGCAAGAAGAAGGTCTAAGCTGCAGAGCAGCAGCACCCCCTGAAAACCACTCACGCCCCTTCAACGACCCCAGTCATCAAGCTGCGCCAAATTGTGCGCTCAACTGTGAAGCAGCCTTGCCGGCCCACCACCCCTCCTTAACCCTTTCCACCTTAGCCACCTTAGCCACCCAACACCAAGCAACACCAACCACCCACGATGGCCAAAGAGCTGGCAAAACAAAAGGCAGCCGCGCATTTTTCGCAACTGCACTTTACTTTGCACTTTTCGCTTTCTTTGCATAAATTCTCGCCCACCCGAGTTTACTGTACTGCTAAAATGGGTACGCATAGCGAAAAAGAAAGAAAACAAATTGGCAGAAAATTGTCACGCGAATAGACCGGAAGATATCCTATAACTATTTAACTTTCATAGTGATCTTGATCACTGATAAAGCTATATAAATAAACTTAATCATTTATTTCTTTCTGCTTTAAGATTATTTGAAATTTTTTACTTTGTAAATATTAAATATCTGGTTATATTATATTATATTCTTTATTTTTCTTCAGTTCCGATTGCCATCTGTTTGTCTGTTGATGTTTCATTTTAAAAGAAAAAAAGGACATTAAATACTTTATAAACATCTAATTTCTATGCAAACTCCTAACGCATAGCACCCTCCGAATTCCTGTGCACCCAGTATAAAAACACAAACAGTGGTAGTTGAAGAAAAAATTGAGGAAGAGAACTTAGGAAAAAAGGAGGAAGCTGAATAAATATGGCATGCAGCTGCTGCAGAAGATTTCCCGCTGAATTTTAAACTAAACACAAAAGCATAATGGAAAAATAGAAAGCGCCAGCAGAGCGCAATGAAGTGTACGGCCATGAGAACGGCGTAACATCAACGGATTCGCGACCAAATGGAGCCAAGTTCCACGATAGGACAGATATGCAAAGGGAATAGGTCGGAATATAGGGCGATATAGCGCGGCCAACTGAGTGGCACTGATGGGGCTGCACTTCAGGCAGGCACTGTGTCGTTAACGTTGATGTCGAGAAAAGGGAGGGAAAACTCATGACTGCAATCGCCAAGTCAAAGTGGAGAAGTACTTACTCCTCTAAAGAAGTCTTAGATAACCACCAGAACCGCCAATGAATTAATACATCAATCATCCGAGTAACAAAGGTTTTTCCAAACTGCCAAACACTAAGATAGAGGGCTGTATAACTTACAGCTCAATTCTGAAGAGTTAAAAAAAGCATAAGTAAATTTTAATATTGAATTTTCCTTTTGCAAAGCGGCGTAAGTTGGTCACAATATATATATATATATATAATATATAAACATACTTACAATATATACGTTTGTAAAACTGTTTGCATTAAATCAAAAAATAACAATATTTAAATTTCTCGTTCGACAATTAAAAAAAATTTAAAGAGTTTAGCTTTTGCAAAGCTGCACAATTTGTTAATAACCCACTCATTTAATGTTTTGTGACAAATTAAATTATTCATGAAGCTAATAATATTATTAATCTTAAATTAATAACTATTAATTATATTAAATTATCATCAATCATCACGTAAAACATGACAGTATCTTATATAATATCCAGCCAATATGTTTTTATTAATTTAAACATGATTTGGATAAAATGAAAAAGTTTTTCTCCACTCAATTTTAATCTCTTTGATTTTTTCATTAAAGCCGTTTGCATTTACGACCAATAAGCTTTCACACAACTTATGAATAATTACGATAAGTTCAACATGTTTTTTAAATTGTTTAATTTTTACTTAACACCAGAAAGTATGATTAATAAAGCTAGTGAAATGACTTTAATCCGCAACCTCAACATTTATGTTGCAGCTCCATAGAAACCCTGCGAGCGGAAACGCCCGAGGAGTTCTTTGCACCGAAGCATGGGGATGATGACGGCCAACTCAATGGGACACCAACAGATGCCGATGCAGCCGAATGGGGGGCGGGAACGGGAACGGGAACGGGAACGGGAAAGGCTGGAGGAGCACTGCCGCCCATCTCCGTCAGTGACCACAAGCAGCGGCAGCAGCTGAAGAAGCTGCGTTTCAAGCGGGAAATGCACGCCCTGGCGCTGGAGGGGGGCGATGCGGCCAGGGGCTACTGCTCCTGCGACGAGCAGTGGACCAACTCCTCCTCGCCGACGTCCACCACGACCTCGGCCACCATGTCGCCGACACTGCCAGCTGCCGGAAACGCCGGCGGCGGACGCCACGCAACCGGAAATGGGACTGGGAACTCGGGCGGCAGCAGCGGAATTGTGAAAATGGCGGCGGCGGGAAAACGGGGCGGGCGGCTCAAGCAGCAGCACCATGTGCGCTTCTCCGACGAGAAGAATTTCTCGGATTGAGGACAACAACAAACTACTAGACTGCACCTAATCTCTGTTTAGTCATAGGCTAACATATTCTCACCCTTGTCAGTGGGGCGGAAGTCGAAAACAAATCATCTAAAAACCAAACAAATTATATGAAAATCCGTAGATAAAGGTAATCGACTAAGGAACCTGTACATATAGTTCGGAAGTGTTAATATCTAAATATCTGTGTTTAGTTGCTCGATAGATCTGTTGTGAACCATATATATAAATATATATGAATATAATCAAGTAATCAAATAAGTTTAGCACAAATGCATTTTTTCCATTCATCAGCAAGTTGAACGCAAATATTGAAGCAAATTGTTGATAACGGAATTCTGTTGACGGCATTGTAAATATTCTAGTCGAAATAAACATAAAATGTGGTATTATTTACTTGAAGTAAACAATTAAAAATAAATTAAAAGGTAACATAAAAATATGAAAAAACACAAACATGGCTCAAAATAGTTTAGATTAACAATGAAAGTAATCAGGGGCATATTTGACACCAAATAACTAGTTAATTCGGGAGACCCCTTTTTTATTGTGTACAGTCAAATGCACAAGAGGATAAAAAGAGATGTATAAATGCTTAATTTATAAATTTTTTAAACTCAATCTTCTTTTCTTTATAAAACAACAAGACAATTTGTTTTTAAGGCTTTTAGAGAATATTTTTAATTTTTTTTTATTGATTTTGGAAGAACGAAAGGGCACAACTCTTCTTGACAATTAATAACTAAAAAACTTTAACAATTTGTTTCTAATGTAATAATTACCTCAACCTAACGAAAACTCCCAATTTATAATTTTATTAATTATTAAACCTTTTATTTAGTCTCTTAGATTGTTCAAACAAGTCTGCATACTTCTTAGTACTCTTCCATATAATTTGTAAAACATTCTGATTACATTAAAAAAAGCATCGCCAAAAAAAAAACACAAAATATGGTATTTGTATTTCTAAGACTAAATTTATAATCGTCTAGTTTACAAAACAAAAAAAAATGATTGCAGCACACGCAAAAAATAAGTTAAGTGATTAATAAATAAAAAGTTAAACTAAAAGAGATATAAACAATCCATTAAACTAAAAACAAAAAAGCTAAATAAAATAAATACTAAAAAAAAAAGTATGTTATTAAAAACATGTTTCCTCGTAAAGGGCACCAAAGGTATTCACATCCCACCACAAAAACTGGACAACGGTTTTTCGTTTCGCAATTTATGAACTTTGAAAATGCCAGCAAACAGCTAATAAAGACCTTAAGACCCCGGGGAACCCGTTCTAACCCGAAGGATTTCTGGATTCATTTCGTTTTAAATGTTCTTCGTTTATGAGCGGAATTGTCGTTCGGTAATTTTAATGGCTCAAATTTTTATGGCAGCCAGCAACGGTTATTAAATCAAATTTAATGTCTGGCCTGCAATATGGCAGAAAAAGATTTGCGAAGAAGGGGAGAAAGTTTGGTAAGTTCAGACCGAAAATTCAAGGTTCCTGGGGAATTAATTTATATCGTGGAGCTGAGTTTTTGGCAGCGAGCACATCAAATATGTAACCACGCCACGCCGCAGCCCCCAAAAACCGCCGCTCTATCCGCTCAAGAAGCTTGTTTATGTTTGGCGAAAACTATTCCAATTAACTGGCCAAAAACGAAAACAAGAACGGCGGAAAAATAGAAAATGAAAGCTAAAAAAACAAAATGCCCGCTGGTCATTTTGTAACTCTTTTGTAGACTTACTTTTCCGCCCATTTCCCGCCCAGTTTGTTTGTTTTGTTTGATGTGTGTTGCATGCAAAATTTTTTTTTTTTTTCAGTTCAGTCGCCTTCTCTTTTAGTCGTTTACAAAAAGCCAACGTTTTATGCGCAAATTTCATTATTTAAAATGTGTTGGTAAATGAGTGTGAGTATGTGTAAAAGTGGAGAGCTTGCGGGCAAAGTTAATTTAAAATTAAACACACTTCACATTTGTTAAAACATTTTGATAAGCACCAAAAGTTTGTGGAAGTATTCTGCGCTTGCATAAAATTGTCAATTTATGTGCACTTGTTTAGATAGTATTTGGGCGATTTAATTACTTGTCAAAAAGTAACAGTGTTAGCTGAATGAAAAAAAAATTAGCTCGCGGATAAAATGTTAATATCCACAGGTCCAAACGAGGAAATTCCTGCAGCTTTTACAAAAATGCCCTAAACTATAGCCATCCTCTATCCCAAAGAAAAAGTTTTACCAGCAACCCACGAACCAAGTTAACGTCCCTCGAATCCTCCCCGCATCAACCACAACTTGCCCTAATGTCGGTTTTGAAGTGAATATTCGCTTTTAATGTTTGCTTTTTATTGCAAACTAAATGCGAAAAATGTGTTGGCGAAGTGAGTTATGTGAAAGGGGGGTTGGGGTCGGGGTGTCTTAGCTTAACACTTGCTACCTTTTTAATATAAATGTTTTATAGCGGGGAATTTTACAAATTACTTTTTGTGCAGCACCAGTCATACACATGCGGACATAAAAACTTGACGACAGGTGTAGCAAATAAGGATTATTATTTTAAATACCAACGTCTACCGCCCTTGCCCTTACATTTACAATGCTAATTAATGCGTTAAGCAAACTGCGAAAGTTTTATGATGCAATTCAGCAGGGATTTTATTAAAGTTTTAACACTCACGTATTGTTTAAAACACAGCAATTTTATGATTTCTTTTACGAACCGTAAAAGCAAACTAATTTTATGAAGCCTTAGGTAATTTTAAGCTGCATCTTGATAAAGGTATCCTGTAATTATTTATACCAAAGTCAGAGCCCCATTATGTGTCCTGGAGTTATTCTTTCCAGCCACTGCATCAATTAATTAATTAAACTTAATACACTTTGGTCATCCTCTCCCGGCATGCAGTCTTTTCGGCTCATTAACTTGAAGTGTTACATTTTCGTAGGCTAAACCCGACTTCACTTGCCACTCAGACTTGACGGCTCATAAAAGTCTAAAGTTATGGCAATAATAGCAGCACCAACAGAAGGTACAACAATTTGTTTTGCCGCTGCCGTGTATGAGGCGAACACATTTATATGTTTTCCCACGGCTAACACGACGTATGCGTAATTTATGTCGCTAGCCGACAGCAGGTGTACAGGTCGCATAGCGCGGTTTTCATATTTCTAAAGTTCTAGCGCAAATTTGATGTATGTTTGCATTTTTTTAAGGCTATGCCATACAAGCCAGTCTCATTTGGCTGTGACTCCAGCTCGCGTTGATAGTGCTTTCATAAATTATCCACTCAAGAAAACGCAATTTAATGAAATTTCATCAACCTGCATATTTTTTTTTTTTTGAAAACAGGCGCACTTGGATCAGGGATTATATTTGAACAGGTAGTGCCAAGTGTGGCTGCACAAACTGGCGTTTCAATTTGTGGTCTAAATTAAGTTAAATATTTCGTTTTATCAAAAATAAAAATTACCCAAAATTTGGTAAGCAGTTTTTTTTAAACAAATTCATAATCCAGGCAACATTGCCAGATTTTTCGTTTGCCAATGGAATTTCCCAACCAATTTTGACAGACTTTAAACGGAATTAATTTGAATTGAGCAAAATAAACAACAGAACTAATTGTTATACTGGTACCATTTGTTCCAACGTAGTTAAAACTACATATCTTAGGGAAAAATTTCGTAGGATTCCAACGAAACTTTGAATTTATTCTGCCCATAACAGCTAGACCGTCCGATTTGGATTGAATTCAATAGATAGGATGGATATAAAATATTATATAATTTTTTATTAGCAACCATTATAGTGATTAGTGATTTAAACAAAAAAAAAACCGTTAATAAATAATTCAACCCGAGATTCCAACCAATGTTATCTACATCAAAGTTTGCTTTTTTGGCCGCTTTGGCGCTATAAAACACAGAATCGACGTTTTTTAACATAACTGTTAGCAGCCAAAGACTCTTCAATGTTAAAAGGAGGAAAAAGAGCCGATGCGCCATGGACAGAATATTGTTGATTTTGAATGATACTTTTAGTGTGACCATTTTTATAAAACAAATTTAAATCTGAATATAAGAGATGGAAAAACATCGATGTTATCTTTGCAAAGACACCAACCTCGTTTACAGATAGATAGCGGATACTCACTCCACAGGTACTCTCATCTAACGAGGGCTGGCCGCTTCGAAATTTGGTAATCGAACTATAAGTTTGTTAATCGATACTCCCACTTCTTGCACACTCAGCCTGGTTCCGCTCCATTTCTTGACACCCTCTGTTAAAGTTCTTAGCATCTGCTAAATGCAGTCGATATTTAATAAAGTGTTGCCAGATAAGGGTTTTCCCCCTAGTTTTAGTGTTTTTTGTTTGTCTCGTTTCAGAGGGAGGAATAATTTTTTATGAATTTTACTATTTACTACTGTGTGTATATAAAAAAAATTACAATATACAGAAGTTACCTAATTTGTCAACAAGATTGCAAAATATCTAGTACCAACATTAATTTTCAGTACATGTTAAATATGTTTCCATCTCTTTCCACAATATATTTTTTGAAATTTAACGTATGATAAATGTCGGTGTAAAACTGGATTTTTTAGGCGAAAATCGGAGTTCTGCGAGATTTTTCAGTGGGAGACATCTGGCAACACTGTTAAACATTTAAAAAAAACTCGGGAACGCAGGCGGACGTGTCGCGGATGAAGGTGGAGCTATTGTGAATTGTTCCTGTGCCCCGCGCAAAAAAGCAAATAAGAGCAGCTTTTTGTGAATAAATCGGTTCGTGACCAGGTTTTTTACCATTTTTAAGGAAAATTAAATCGCTTCGTTCTGAAAACAACGCACTAACGCACACCCACACTTGCGCGGTCGCACGCACAAGTTTAGGTGTGGAAACAAGTGAAATAGGGCTGGGAGCACAAACTGAGATATGTTACTTGCTAAATATTGGATTAAGCTAAAATAAAAAGCCAAAGAATAACAACAACAACAATCAATCGAATATGCGCGTGCGACAAAGAGGGTGCGAGTGACGAAAGAAAGAGGTAGACGAGAACAGCAAACACCACACACACACACCTACACGCTGACGTCGACGCGCTGTCTGTTCAGTGGAGCAGTGTTGCCAGCCCACAAGAGATCTGCCTGAAAATCCCAATTAAATAATTAATGTCTTTAAATCAGAATTGGAGTAACTGGTGCAGAGCTTTTAATTTGCAAACTCCTTTTTCCCAATTCGGCTTATTGGCATTGGGGCTATTCTGCTGAGTTGGCAACACTGGCCACCAGAGAATGAAAGAGAGCAAGCGCGAGAGAGAGCGTCACATGCTGGGGCGCTCATTTCAGTTTTCCTCAATGAACACTTTTCACGGTTTTCGATTCGTCGGTTCGCGTTTTCCTCAGTCGTGCGTTGTTTGCTCGTGAAAAAGTTGTAAAGCCCAGCCAACTACAAGTACATAATAAAGCCAACTTTTATTCGCAGTGCATGTGCAGCGCGGGATAGCGACACCCAGCCCAGTGAGCTGTTAAATAATTTGTAAAGTGTTTGTGTTTTTAACGTGTACAGCCAAAAATTCTTTGCCTTTTGCATAACAAAAACAAACTGAGCAAATAAGTGTTGAAAAAGCCATACTACACATAACACACACACGCAGAGAGAGGGAAAAGGACGCCTACGTCAATAAGCGAAAAACGGTAAGCGCAATTCTTTTACCCCATGTTGTGTGCTTGCCAATTGGAAAATTTCGTATGTCCCCTCCCGCTCTCGCGTGTTTCCCCTCTCCCTTGCTCGCTCTTACACTTGCTTTTACGTTGTTGGCAAGCAGCGTTTCATCTTCATTCATTTCCACAAACAGTCACACATACCAGCACACCCCCGCTCTCTTTCAGAGAGCTATGAAGTTCAGTGTGACCATGTGTAATTGTTGTAGCTGGTCAGGCCACAAAATTTGTATTCGAGAAATTCTATTTGCCTTTTGTTTAAATAAAATTCAACCACGATGCTTTCAACATTTGCACAGTATATTGTTCATAAAAAACAAAGTTAACAATGGCTCATAGAATTGGGGTTTTGCGTGTGTGTGTATTGTGTGCATTCTTTATCATTGATATGTTAAATGTGAAATGTTGAAATTCAAATTAAGATCTGCGTTTTTGTAAACAAAAACAATAGAGTGAGAATTAGCTACTGAAATTAGCTAAAGACAAAAGTTACTGGTTTTTGGTTGGCTTAAATCATGATTGGTATTTGAGAATTTGTTGGTAGAAACTAAGTTAACAAAACCAAAGTGCACAGAGAAAAAAATACTATATGTAATTATTGTTATTTTTGTTAATTTAATTTAAAAATATAAATGTCCAGATTGGATATAATTTTACTTTTTTATAAATGCTGTGTGTTTTAATAGAAATTTAATTTCATTGAAATAATCAAATATCATACAGTTTTTTTTTGTGAAACGGGTCCCACTGTTACTAACTGAAGTTAACCGCCCCCAGTCTATCCTCCACACACACATAGATGCACTTACACTTTGACGTGCTAGGTATAGATGTATGTGTGTAATTAGCAACAAAACTCTCGATGGCAACTGCATCGCACGAGATTTTTTATTGTTATTGTTGATGCTGCCCGGACCAAATTTCTCTCTCTCGCTCTCTCCCACCCTTTTCATGGATCCACTGTCTAATTTACATTTGAATGTGCGTGAGCACGCATTTGTTGATAATTATCAGCAAATTACTAGACGCACTAAGCAGCAGCAACAGACCCAAAGTGAAAAGTAATGCATACATACTATAAGCTTGTACAGTGGGGAAAATAACAAAAAAAGCAAAAAATTTAATATCGATATTTATTTTTCAAAAGTTTTAAATCCTATGCCAGTTTACTTAACAGTCTTAAATTAAAACTACTCTTGCAAGTAACTTATTTGTCTTATATTTTAAGAGCAAGTCGTTGTTAAAATAGGCGTATTACCAATAGATTAGTAATTTTTAAGTTTTTAAAATAACTAATCAACAACAGAAACTTTTTGTTGCTTATTGGCAAGTCGTTCTGTGAATTAATACAAACACCGATACAGAAATAGACCCGTTGCTATGTCTACGACTTCGGCATGAATATACTCTAAAATGTCAGTCCCACTTTGGTGGCAAAAGCTTAGTAATTCTCTCACACGCACACACACATCGAACGAAACGCGCACGCCTATTGTTTATTAATTTATTTTATTTGTTCAAATTTGGTTTATCGTTAGCGGCCAATGTTTCTTTTTTTATTTTTTATTATTAACTTCATTATTCGAAGCATAGCACGTTTTCTTGCCTAGTTATTTTTTTTTCGTATTTTATTACATTATGTTGATAGTGTGCGAGTGTATGTGCCTTTTATGGCCAGGACAATAAGCCCATTTCGGTATTGCAGCTAGTTTCTCAATTGGGCCAATGCACTGAAAAAAAAAGGTATATACACATAACCAAAGAAACTAAGTTTATTTTCAACATTAAAATCAATTTTAACCTAATTTGTTGGAACCCTGAAGATATCATCTTCAATTCCTACTAGGAAAAAACCATTTACATGATGTATGTATCTCAAGATCTTTTGTTTACATGACCAACGAACCGAGAGAACCATTAAAAATTTGAAATAAGCCACAAAAGCTGCAAACAACAAACAGCAAAACTTCAATAACAATCCATCAAAAAGTTGAAATTGCCCAAATCCAAGACAAAACCAGATCATGTAGCGCATTAAAAAAAAACCCAGACAGAAGGGCAGGCAGGCAGATCCCCGGCAGTCATGCTCAGATCGAATTATAAACACGAAATGAAAAGAAAAGCATTTGTAATGGATGGTCTTTAAGTTCTGTCTGCTGCCGATTTTGCCTCTCACAGTGACTACAATGAATCGAAGTCTTTATTCTATGGTCGCAGCCAAAGTTCGATGTCAAGAAGAGTTGGGAAGATAGAACGAAAACATCTGAGGGAATAGAGTGTATATATGTAGGGTAGTGAATGGATTTATCGTTTATGAGGTTGACTTTATAAAAATTAGTTTTGTTTAAATTTTAAGGAATCCTAAGGTGTTATATGTTACTTTAAACCGATTTAAAATTTTTCTAAACAAAATTTGGATAAATTAAATTAAAAAAGGATGATAGTATATAAAGTCCAATATCGGAGATATTCAGATAATATAATATATAGATAAATAATATGAAATAATTGAAAGACACATTGAAGACAACATTTTGAAATTGTGCAAGTTGGATAAATGTTTTACGTTATCACCCAGACAGAGAATTGGGGGCTTCCCTGTTGGCCTCCACACTTAATCTCTCGCTACTGAATTCCAATTGGGGGGCTGGGCGGGTAACATCACTGGCACTTGGGGGCTTCTTCTTCGGGCATTCGGTCTGCAACAGGCTGCACAGATGACGATCGGCAATGTATATATGTGTATACACAGTGAGTATTGGCGTTAAAGAGTAGGGGGAATGGAGATGGAAAAGAAAAGAACTCAAAAGACGAACGATAAGGCAGGCAGGCGGCGAAGACGCTGTTAGCCAGACATGGCGTATACGCAGCGTTGTACGCGCTCGTATATATGTATATACATATATGGTAGTATCTGTGTGTTGGCTGTGCTGCTGCTGGCTGATTTTTACTACTATGTACTACGGGTTAACACCAGTAGCTGTCTGACGGCTTGACGTTGTTGTTTGTTTCTTCGTTTTTATTTGTTTTATGCTGGGTTTTTGTTCGATTTCCATCGTTGTACTTTTTGAAGTTCAAGAATATGGAAAGCAAGAAGGAGGTAGATTTGTGTGTGTGAGAGTGGGGCTTTGCAGAGTCGCGTTTTGCGTCTGCTTCCCGGCTCTCTTTCTATAACCCAACACCTTCCCCAGCCCCCATTCACAGCGTTGTTGTTATAAAGACTTTGTCTTCTTGTTTGACACTAACACATGCTTAAGTGCCATAGTATCTGTGTGTATGGCAACACACATTGATGTGTAACTTGTTGTTGTTGCCCCAAACCAGTTTTCATGTTGCGTTAGCTGTTGTTGTTGTTGTTGTTGTTGTTGTTGTTGTTGTTGTTGTTGTTGTGTATCTTGTAGTACGTCTTGCAGACTCGCCCCTCGGCATTCTACAAATACTAAAAACATCGAGTTGTAGTACAACTTCTTATGGCATCCAGTTGTGGAGTCTGCAAAGATATTTCTGGCTGGAATTTCTTTGCTGCTTTTTTATATTCTTTTTATTCTCTACTATATTCGCTTTTCACGATTAAAAAATGCTCACTATAAAAAAAACCCCTGTGATTCACATAAAAGGATATTTTTATGAATAAGTTTCTGGTGGGTTTGTTCAGCATAATGACCCTTAATAATTGTGTTATATTTTTCTTGGGATTTCTTAATTAAAAAAAAATCATTTTAAAAACTACAACTATTAGTGCTTTATGTAGAGCTCTTAAAGAATATAGTTCGCTATTTAGTCATTAAAATTATTTAAGTCATGATGAATTAAAAGTCTTAAATATATTAAAAAAGAAAAGAGAATTGCGAAAAGAATAATGTACTTGTTGTTTTTTTTTGAACCAACCAGTTGAATGAGATTTATAAATCCTTGAGGATATATCCATTTCTTCGCTCAACCAGCCTTTTTGATTCACCTCGTCTCACTCAATTTGGGGCTCCATTCAAACGTCTGACCTTAATCCGCACCTGTATTCCACTTTTGGTATTTCATCTGCCAACCGACCAAACTGAAAAAAAAAATCCAAAACATGCGTTTGCCCCTTCATGGGCTTACTGCTGTTGCTGCTGCTGGTTGCCGTCGTCAACGTTTTCGGGATCATTAATTACGTCTGCTGGGTCTCGGCCTCTCACAGATTCTCCCTGCACCCTCTACTTCTGGCCCAAATGATCCAAAGAACCGGAATGTTCAAGAAGGAAACAAGAAGTTGTCGTTGAAACTCTCAGATTTGTATTTGCTTTAGTTGGCTCGCTCCGAACCAAGCTTCAAACGTCTCCATCTTTTCTTTGTCGAATCCCTCTAACGTTAATGGTTCATATTAGAATTTTATATTTTTCGGAGCTGCCTGTGATAATAATAAATATAAATATGAATCAAGAGGCGGCGGCAGGGGGCAGCATGAACTGGTTTTCATAAACTATAAAAATAATACCTTTTCGTCGATATACTACTGGGATTTGCAATTTCCTCTACCTCCTGTTCGTTGGAATGACTCCGGTGGACTCCACCACGTTCGACATATTCGATGAGTAAGCCGTCTTGGCCTCATTATCGTTTCTGGTATTACTCATCGCCTCTCCCCCTTTCCAGATCCAGACTCCGCTCATTTACTTATCGAGAATTATGCGCACAGCTTTCGGTTTCTGTAAAAACGTATGACAATTTAAATTCAAATTCGATGCGATAGCTAGCGGTCGTCCTGTATTATAAAACACGTTCCAAATAAGCCGGCAAATGTTTGTTTGTTGGCCCCAACAATGGCACACATGGCGCAAAACAACATAAATTGTGGTATTTATATTGAAAACATTCCAAAACCGGTTCACAAATCTATGCTGTAATAAAAAACTACCAAACAAACCGGAAAAATTTTGGGTTTCGGTTATTTTTTTTTTATGTGCCCCGCTCTAAACGCTGCTGTCTCGGGGGCT